TATACTAATGACTATGAATTCTGGAACATTAAGAATCTTTGATAAACTTAAATCCGCCAAAATATTAGAGATCGCGTCATTATTATAAAGGATTTCATTTTATTCGGATTTTTATCCAATATTTCAAAATTAGTATTGCTCAATGGGTGCAACTTTTAGGATACAGTTTTTATAATTTACCCTTTATAATTTACCCTTTATATTATGAACTTATTCAGTCTATAAATATGCCCTTGAAATAATTTATTCAAAATACTTATTATAATTATTTTTATTATTATTTTATGGTATTCCATAAATTATTTTAAGTTGTGTAAGAATTACAATCATTATTTTGGTTGTACACGCGTTAATACTTTCACAGGTAATTCTAATATCCACATTTTAAGTATAAGTATTTTCTCATTGTAATCAATTTTATTTTGTATACAAGTAAGGCAAACTGTATTTTTAATTCATCTATAAGTTCCACAAGAATAATAGCATTCTAATTTTAATTGAACTTATTACATTAGAGTTAGCAAGGCCATTAAAAGTCAAATGTACTTATTACTCCTCCTAAAGTTTTATACTTCCCTCGAAATATCCATCATTATAACATTGTAAAGCTGGTTAATGCACAATCAATATCTTATAATTTCTTGCACATTATTAAACTTCCAATTCAAACTAATGAAGTTACATTTGCATTAATTAAGTTTAAATTGTCTAGTTGCGTCCAACTAACAACTAAGATATTTAATTTTACAGAATGAATAACAGGTCTTGCATTTAAAATAAAATTCTTTAATTAATAATAAAAATACCCTATTTTTCTTTATCATATATTTCTCCTTAGCATAAACCATCTCTAATCAGCACCTAGATTCCATATCATCACTTCAAGAGATTATTCCATCTCCCTTTTAGTTAATTAATAATCCAAATACTTATGATTAATGTTAATTTATAGTCTAAGAACAAACCCAATAATTTTATGTAGTCTCTTATAATTTAGGAAGAGTTCAATATTTAATTGTCCAATCCTTTGAATCGCTAATAATTAGTTTTTCACTTGGATGGATAATTAAACATCGTATATGTTATGAATGTGACTTTAAATATTTAGGCGTCCATTCTTTATACTTGATTGTTTTAGGAATTTTGGGTGATCATATTATAATATTTGTGTCCTCAAACCCAGACATAAAAGTATCAAATATTTAAGTAATTTAAATGAAAAAATTGAGAGTAGTAATATATTTCTGATGATTCCCTAAAGTAAACATATTTCATTTAAAGTTATTTTAGATTCTTATTATTATTATGATTAAACTATTTCAAACATTTTAATCTTAGATTCAGCAGAAATCGCTAATATTGTTTGATCATGGTTATTAGAAATAGCATAACTAATCTTATGTTTATTTGTGAATTTAAAAGGGAATTAAATGATGAGAAGAATTTTACTAATTAATTTCACTATTGATAATTTACTATGGTTAGTTTACTTAAGCAGAACCAGGTTTTCTAGCATTCACTTCCAAAGGTTTAATTAAATTACTCTACTACTTCAAAATTTAACTAAAAAAATTAGACTGTTAGCCTTCAGTTTTATAGTTCCAATTATGATTGAGTTCAGTTATTTAGTGTTAATTTTCATCTTCGAATAATTTCTTTTATTTTGTTATTAAATGAAAAAGTTAGTTAGCCTAAAATTATCCTCTATCTTAAATACTTTTGATCCAATCAGTCGTTGTTAAAGTGATCTAATCTAATAATTATTAACATGAATTTTAAAGAAAAAATTTTACTTTTAAATAACTTAAATCTATTGATGTGAGGGGTGATTAGTAACTCAAATTCTTAATTCTTACTTCACAGAATTTTCTATGGTTTACGTCACCTCTTTTAAGGGTTGTAAATAAGAAATTTTTTTAATTCTAAACAATTCTAACAAGAAAGGATTTCCATATATAAAATCTAAATATCAAGAGAGTGTTTCAAATTACCAATATAGTCTAAATTTATGTTTAATAATTAAATTTAAAAGATTCATATGATTTTTCAATTTTAATTTTCTATTAAAAAGATATTTACATATTTTAGTAGCGTAAATTTTAAGGTTCTCCTTTGATTATTTGTAAATGTTAAGGTATTTTTTTAAATTGATAATAGAATTGTACAAAGATAAAATCATGTATCAGTTGATTAATGAGTAGTAAACCAAATTGGAAAAAAAATTTCGTACAAACACTATATTTACAAAATATTTTTAATAATCTAATAATTAGATTAAAAGTATTATAAAAGAACTTAAGTCGTTTTTATTCCTTCTAGATATAGCACTATAATAGATAGATAATCCATTTTATAAGATTTTATAAAAGTTATAATGTATTTCACCATTTCAAGGTGGAGATATAGAGCTTAAAAAATAAAACAAATATAAAAGATAGTAAAATTAACAGAAAACCAGGAGAGCTAAGAAAATAGAATAAGAAATTCATTTAGAAATAATGTAGTTTTGATTAGATGGGCATACTATAAATGAGATGGAATATAAATTTAGAGAAGGAAATAATAGTACCATCTTTTGAGTAAAAATTTGAAGATTCAACAATTAAAAAATTGTGTAAAACAGATTTGTTCATATCTAAAAACATCAATTTAGCGTCTGAAAAAGATGCCAATTGAAAAAGTAATTTGTCATTGGAATGCAAAGGAAATATATTCATTCATTATAGCGGGACTAATTTTGATTTATAGTTTATCATTCTGCCTCGATAATCATCAATAAGGTAGCCAGACATGTAAAACATTTTAATTATATCATTAGCATTTCACTATATTTGAATGTGATTGAATAGAACTTAGTGACCATATTATCAATTAAATACAGAAATAAATAGATATGTCAATACTTTATAAACTAATTAAAATTAGTGATGAAGGACTAAAATTAGTTTTTTCTTATTTTGGTCTTCATTCATAGATAATGGTCTATTATATATGGACTTAAAAAAATTTAATAATTGTGATTATTAGAAAATTTATGAAAGTGATATTAATAAATAAATTTTAAGAAATTAGAAAGAGAGTTAAAATCACAAGTAAATAATAGATGGAAGAAAGATATTGAAGAATAAAAAAAATAAGTTTATAGCAACTCTGGTAAATCATATATAGAGGAGCATGCATTCTTTAAGCTAACCTTGTTATATTAGAAGAAAGATTAATACTTTTCCCAAACACATAATTTAATTTATGAATAAAATTTTTATTTACTTTCATGGATTATTTTATAAATTTTCTATAACTTTTTTTTCACTAAAGTATTCTGAAAATGAATTTGTTGTGAGGTTCATAAATTCTAAAATTCTATAAATTAATGAATTTTAGCATATAACCAAAGCAATTAAGATTCTTACTTACGCTAATTGTCAGCTTAATATATTAAGTTAATTTAAATTAATAAAAGTGAGCTCTCTTTTAGAAATTTCTTCAAGCCATTTTTGATAACGTCCTTATTTTTAATTTATTGTAAAAATATATTAGAAAGTGTTTTTTGTGATATATTGTTTCCAATGCGAAATCAATAAGAAATTATTCATAGATGTAGTTATATTTTATTAACTAAAACACCTTTTTTAATTATTATGTAATAATATTAATTGGATTTCAAAGTATTCATTTTTATTAATCAAAAATCCATTCACCTATATATTTTTTTCCTTTAGCTGATTTATATTCACCTTAACCATGTCTTTTATCATGTATCCAATCACCATCATAATAAGATTTATCGGCATACATCATTTGACCCTTTCCATGCTTTTCACCATCTAGAAAATCTCCATAATATTAAGCCCCGCTAACCCATTTGAATAAACCCTTACCTGTTCTTTTATTATTTTAAAAATCTCCATTGTATTCATTCCGGCTAACCCATTTATATTTACCCTTTCATCATATGATTCTCCATTAGCCCATTTGAATAGACCCTTTCAAATTTTAATATCATTTTTCCAATCTCCATTGTATTCATTTCCGTTAGCCCATTTGTATAAACCCTTTCCATGTTTATCACCATTAGCCCAATACCCATCATATGAATCTCCATTGTCAAATGTTACCTTTTTTTTCATTTACTTTCTCAAATTTAAATATTGTTGTTTTTTATCTTTAATAGAATAAAAAATGATTTTATGAATCGCTAAATTATTCTATTAAAATAGTTCAAAAATAATATAAGTATATTCTTTAAAAAGTTCTTTATTTCGAATTTAAGCTTGAGAAATAAATGATTATTAGTGAATTACCTTAAATTTTTGAAATTTAAATATTCTTTATTAGAATTGGAACTTTTAAATTCATTTATAAAAATGACTTATAGAGAAAAATTTGATTTGCTTACATTTGATTGATAATTAGAAGAAAAGACATTAAAACTAGGATAATTTGAATACTTCATCAAAATAGTAAAAAATAAAAGAAATACAAATCCTCAAGCATCTTATATGTATAATTTTTATTATATAAGTTTTTTTATTACACAACATAAAATCATTGAATATAAATCTCAATAATTTAGAATATAATAATTTATTTTATATTACACTTTTTAACTCTATGAGTCTATCAGAATTATAAGGAGATATTTAATATGATTAATTACATTACAAGAAAATAATTTATAAAGAAAATATTATAGATTAATTATTGATATTTATAAAATTTTAATC